ATCTAATTAAAAATAGAAATAAGGACAGAATAACAGAAATTTGAGATTTTTTTATGGAAAGAAAACAACAGGCTCCCAGAACATGATAGACTGTTTATATCATGTTTTTCATATTAATAGGATTAGCAACCTGCCATGTTCATAAGAAGGATGAGGAAACATTCTCTTTTGAATATACTAATTTCTGAGCATACTTCAATAGTTCTTACTTCTCTCAACATATACAATTAAAGTTAATTTCTTGACTACTGAGTAGGTCCTTACATAATTTTAATTTACTAGACTTACACAAGATTTGTATTGTTTGAAAAAAGAACTGAACAGCACATAAAAAAATATTAATTTTGTATTAATGTACAATTTTAAACTGAAGCTGAAATATGACACAGATTCCTCTTATGCTAAGTGTGTTATAATTCTAGATTATTTTATGGCACTGTGCTGAATACAGCCACTTGGACTATTTCACTACAGTATAAAAAAAATTAATAAGAAATGTAAAATTTGTTACGAACATTCATTTGATGTTTACTGTTAAGCACAAAGCTATACAAAGGGCTATCTATGCTCTGCCCACCATGGGTATCGAAACCTGGTTTCTAGTGGTATAAGTCTGCAGACATACCATTGTGCCACTGAGGGGCAACATTCATTTGAAACAATTAACTTAAAATAAATATCAAATTAACAATTTGTATAAAATATGTCTTTCACCAATAAGAAAACAATTAAAATTACTTAGTATAGATGTTAAGTAATTTTGTTTAAAGGCAAACAAAATTCAGTGACTAATGTAAGAAAACCTTTCATACTTTCTGGTGCTTAAAAGTTCAAAGTTCTACATCAAAAATGACACCCCACAACTACATCAAAAATTATTATGGACCTGCAAAAACTACTCAAAACATTTCTATCATTCAAAATTGTTTTAAGTAAGCAATGAGGTGTTTGGTGGTTAATCATGGCAATACTACTTTGGAAACCAAATACATACTTTTCAGGTTCCCAGTATAAGTTTATAAAGTAAAGTGGTTTCATAGTGACTTTCTTTTGAGGCTATGATGTTTTCACTATGTAATAAGTAAGACAGTTTACAAAAATGCAAATGAATCAAGATGTTCACTGTCTAAAATATTTCCCACAAAACTTTTGTAGTAAGTTACAAACACAAAGTTTTGAGATGTTAGTTTTTCATTTAGGAACAAAGAAATTTTCTTGTTTAGTTTTAAAATAGATGTAAATGAATAAATTGTTTAACTCTAAAACAATGCTCTGACTGAAAATGTGATCAGCAAACCACCTAGTTTTTAAAAGTAGGGTCATTTTAGGCTTATAACATACTGCTCTGACATTATTTTTTGTTAATTATCATTCTCTTCTTAATATTATTTGTATACTATTAGGTGCATGTATTTGTTTTAAAAAAAGCAATTGTTTTGCACATATTATTCTATTCATTCATCAATGCTAGATTCATTAATAATATTGGTTAAGCTGTTAAATATATATTTATTTTCATTCTTTTTTTAATATTATTTAGCATTGTTAGCTTAGTAAATAGATTTAGGACTAACCTAAATCTCCTAAGCTGGCCAAATCTCATGAGATATTAGTGGTACTACAGCTGAAAATAATGTTGACAGTGTCAACTATTGAATCAATGAATTCTAATCATTATAACCAAAAACAATATATCAAATCAACTCTGTTCACTACTGGGTTAATTATTATTTCTGGTTTATATGGGTAGCTTACTCAGAACACAAGTCAGTGATAATTTAACTACTTAAAACAAATTTAATGCAATCTAAGTAAAATATTGAAGCATTTCATTTGCAGTGTCAATACACATTAAAATATTGGTTTGTAGTCACCTACCATGAATTTTATTAAATTAAATATTTAATTTTGGAACTTTCGAAGGGTCAAACAGTGATTCAAGTTCATTCAGCCACTACAGAGGTTTTCTTTAAAAGTTGGCGCCTGATATTTGAAATTATATATATTTAGTAAATAAACTTAATCTAAACCATTTTAAATCATTGTAAACTAGCTGATGCAATGGCATTAATTAACTACTGAAAATAATTGGTTATACATGTAAACTAGTAGTAATAATAATAATAATATTAAAATGACTGCATAGTTGGATGCTAAAAATGGACAGTGTAGCATCTGAAAGCATTATATGTTTTATATGTCTTAAAAATGTATGCTTTACATTTGTAATCAAATTTTCAATGACTTCAAGCATTTGAAGACTAAGGAATTGATATTTAAAATTCATCAATAACAACTATTCTGCTGGAGGACTGTGCTAGCATTTTCAACTACAAACACAAGATTCAACAGTGATACCATAGATGTTTTTATAATAAGTAGCTTAGCATGCATACAAAACCCATGCTCCACACATTATAGCCCACAATCCAGCAAATCTTACTACTTACTAAGGTGTACCTCTTGTTACCACTGTCATATCTGCGATTTTGTATACTCTGAAAATTGCAGTGAACATACCGTTTACAGACTGATGTCATTTATGAAAAGAATGAACTACTGACATTCTTACTTTTTTTTCATAAAAAAAGTTCACAATATCAAACTGATTAAATTTCTTAATCATCATTAAGCTACATGTAGCTGTGACAAGAAACATAAAAAAAATATATCAAATAGCAAAATGCAAGGTCAGACTTTACTATTCAATGTAATTTGATATGCAATACACTTTTAACCTAACTTCACAAAGTGTATTTAATTTGTATAATAATTGATAAATTTCTCTACCTTTTGTTTAGACAAAAAACAATGATACCAACTTAAAAATAAGAAAAATATAATCTTAATCCTAATATACAGTTCATTTATAAATTCAAATCATAACAATACACAGTATTGATGCTTTATAATTACCCAACAAAATTTATGTAGCTTGCAACCAAGAAAGGTACCTCAATTCCAAATTTACAGTTATCTGAAGACAAGGTCCATTTAAAACTGTAAGCATTAGGGTATCAAATGAATATTCTGCACCATGAGGATAACTCTGATTTTCTTTTTTTTTAGTAATAGTCCAAAAACATAAGTTTGATACTAAGGTTGAAATGAAGTTCTGTTATTGAATATAAGAGTTTTACTTATAATATTTTTCATATATCATTATAATGTCACTGGCACATTAAATTATTTATTCAATAGAACGTTTCCTTGCTCAATTATTTACATTTTTCATATGACATTATAATTTCATTGGAATATTAACTTCAACTGTTTATTCAATAGAATGTTTCCTTGCTCAATTATTTTCATTTTTCATATGACATTATAATTTCATTGGAATATTAACTTCAACTGTTTATTCAATAGAATGTTTACTTGTTAACTTATCAAACTTTCAATCTCTGCTCATGAACAATGACCTAAAAAAAGATAAGACAAACGAAAATACTTGCCATGGCAGCACCACGGCCTGTCTGTATCCCTATTTGAGGAGGAGCGGGCCCTGTAGGGCTATTGTAAGAAGAACCCCCAACAGAGTTTGGAGCACCAGATATTAACCCATACCCACTACTTCCAGATCCACGATCAGAGGGATGTTGAACAACTAAAAAGTCACTTGCTGGGAGTAATTCTGGTGGTCTGTGGAAAAATAAACAATAAAATCAAATTTGTGTTAATAAAATAAAAATACAAAGCTTATGTGCACTAGAACTATGCAATTACTTGTTCACAATTTACCAGAAGGTAATACTTGAACACTTACTTCTCAAGGTTCAATATATCAAATTCAGCTTCATCTTCCAACCATGGAGTTGGTTCCAGAAGAAGTGAGATATCCAATTCTTGGATTTCTTTAGGAGTGGCCAAAGCTATGGTGCCAGCATTAATCTTTGAATGTACAAAACACAGCAGTATCAACATTTTTATATCTATTTCCACAAGCAAAAACATGTGCATTAAAGTATGTGAAAATCCCTGATTTGAACAAATCTTTATAAGGTGTATATATGAATATTTGAATAAGAAAGAGCTGCTACATACTTCCCAAAAGCAATAAATGTTAGAAACCTCACACTACCAATGTCAACATGTAGTTCTGATATATTCCATTTCACCACAACTTTATATCAGTTGTGGCTGTCATATGGTATGCCTTTTTAAGGACAAGCATAAATACCTATTTCATCCTCCAGCTACTTGAAGCATGAGACAGTTGAATAGACATGCTGTGGAATATTCTTGTGTACACATGACTTTTGCCACTTTCTTAGACAGACATCCTTCTTGGTTATGTTGTGTACTGTTGTCTAGGGCATGTGAACAGCTTTTCCACCAACTTTTGTGTTTGTAGCTTCTTACCTGTTACTAGAAGCTGCACTTTGCTTACTATAGCTGGAGTATGACTTGTTGTAGGTCTCCTACTGAGTGGTACTAGATCCCCAACTCCATCAATATTCCTTTGTTTTCCAATGCCTTTCAGTTCAATGGGTATCTCGAGTCTTGAAAATTTCAAATCCCCCTGATCTGAACACATTTATATAAACTGTATAGATGAATATTTTTAAACAAAAAGGGTTGTTACATACCTTTCTAAAAGCAATAAGTTTTCAGTACAGTCACACTACCTATGAAACATCAAACAAAAGCAAAATTTAGTTCTGATACATTCCATTCCACCATAACTTTATATCGGCTGTGGTTGTCATGTTACTAGCTGGTCTGCGTTTTCATACTTCTTACATATAAAGTACTCAAACTTCTGTATGAACCTTTTCATAAGGCTTATGTAACTACTACACAAAATCAACCTGAAGGTGTAGTTGTTTATCAACTTCAACCTTATTGATGACAAAACTTTGCATAACATGCTAGTTCTGTGAATTTAATCCAATAAATTACCCAATGAATTATTCTTCTCTTTTCAGGTGTTAATAGTGGTTGCAGCAAAGCATGGACACAAGAGATGACATAGAAGCCTTTTCACAGTTAGCAGTCAGTTACATTCAGTGATGAGTAAAAATTCAAAAAGTTTACATCTAACTGATAAGCTTTGGTATGAACAAGCCCTTCACTTCCACTATCTACAGCTAACAGTCAAGTTAAGTAACTGTAGTATAATGGTATGGGCTAAAATTTGGTTTACCAGCAGGGTGAAAATGGTGTTTATTGAAGGAAGAATTAATATGATTGGTTACAAGAATCTCATACCATTGTTTCACCAAGGCATCATTCATTGTGGAACACATTTTATAATAAGATAATACCAACTTGTCACAATACAAAAACAGAAATTACCAAGGATAAGAACTAAGAACTTCAGTTTCTTCCTTAAGTATCGTATATCACTGACATCAGCTCAAACATGTCTTCTTCCAGTCAATGTGAACATACTGAAATCCCCACTCACTCATCTATGGTAAGATCTGGATGAGGTGGTCATCAAAAATCTAAAAAAGTCCTTGTCTAATCAAGTCTAATATTCTACTGGATACTGACTTCTATTTTGTGTGCCCAAGTTTATTAACAAATATTTAATAAAAGATCTCATGAACTAGTAATGCTTAAATTACTAAGGCAGGGATCTGTATATATAATCATGTGTTCCAAAGTAGCTTCACTTACATTTCTTTGATTTTTCTTTTATAAACATTAGGCAATGCTGAAGTTATTACAATAAGGAAAACACATTATCATATCCAATCAGTGGTGAAAAATATAAGTAATTTGCCAGTTCAAAAGATTAAAAAAATAGAGTCAATGATTTGATGAGTTGGGAATGTCATTTTTGAGATACTCAAAATACACAATGTTTTGACTTCTATGATTTTGCTCCCATGGTTTACATTATCAATATGATACACCAACCTAACACAACGTATCTTCACATAACTGCTTCAAAAAATGTTTCAACCAAACTTCTCTTTCTGGGATTCACTTTATTCAGTCTTTCACTCTTTAATATTAAGCAAAGACTGTGTCAGCAGAACAAACTGGACCATTAATGAGTACATTGTTAACAGAATATAAATAGAACATCAATTAACACATTGGTCAATGAGAATTAATTGAGTAGATGAATCATACTGCTAACTGCACTGATTTTGTTAAAATATAAAAAATAAAGCATGAAAATTTCATTAAATTTTTTGTTAGATTTGGTCTGATATACAATATGACTTAATGATTTTACAATTATAACTTTAAAAACTTTTAAGAATTTGGTTCTTGAGATCTAGTATATCTACCAAGCTTTGTTATCAGGTCCAAACTTGTTTCTAACAATTTTTATTAAAGTTAAACTCTAATTCAGGTGCCCTGATAAGCTCTGATACATTTACATTTAATACTTATTTTTTCTTAATACACACAAAACTTTATAAATGACAGGAGATGTATACCAAACATGTATATCATCAATAAAATAGAAAACATGGCTTGCTTTTATAATGTTTCTTGTATTGTAAAATTTTAAAAATAAACAACTACTACTGCTACAGCCACAATTTTTTTGTATGAAATGCTGCAGTAGGAAACACCCACTTCTGCAATTTTCAGGACTAGAACATGAGAATGAACCTTCTTACCTTACTGACACAAAAAGTTGTAATACTATCTTGGTCTTTGTGAATGACTCGAACTAGATCTGGAGTAGGATAATCTACAGAATCTGTGTCTTGCCCTGCACTGTTC